TATATATATATATATATATATATATATATATATATATATATATATATATATATATATATATGTATACTATATATATATGTATACTGGAATATAATAATAGCAATTACTTGATAATAATTAATTAATTAATAGCAATGTAAGTAGTCGAATCGTACAGAAAAAATCAATTCCTTTATGAAAAATTTCGGAAAATTCCCATTAATAACAATAATACTTTATATTTTACAATAATTAATCATTATTTTAAGTTATTACTTTTTGATCACTTTACAATTCTCAATAAATTTTAAAAATCGGTTGTTATAGCAATTACCGTTTATTGTATCCGATCCGATTTTTTAAATTTCTGTGAAAAATTTAATTTCTGGAAAAAGCTTAACCAAAAAATTTCCAACCAATTATTTTTTATTATTACTTTATTATTTCTTCGCTTTTTTTTGTTCCAAGTTCCATATAAAATTGCAAAGAGTAATAAATAGCAATTTTACAAATAAAAACTTTGAAAATAAATTTTTTTTTCCTATAAGTTTTTAAAAAAGTAAAAAACTGGATTTTAATACTCGAAATAAAATAAATTGGCTTTTTTCTTTTTTTTTTTTTTTTTGCAATCTGATTATATTTTTAATGATTATCATATTATTATCTCTTTTGTATTAAAAGTTATTTGAATAAATTTTTTAATTAACAATATCAGCGTAGTATGTTTGTAAAAGGATTTGAAAAAATAAATAAAAAAAATCAAATTTTAAAATAAAATAAGTTAAAATTAAAATAGAATTAAACTTTAAAATAAAATTAAAATAGAATCAAACCTTTGAAACATAATTATGGCAGCATGCAATTTTTTACGATCAATCGTTTTCCAATAATTTTTTAGCGTAAAAAAATCACGATATGTACGAAAACCGATACGTTCATCAAGTTGTTTGATTGTTTCCGGATCAGGTACTGATAATGCTGTTTGCTTATCTTTTCGATTTTTTAATTTTTTGAAAACAGCCATTTTTGAATTGAAATATGATTGATAAAATCCTGAAAAAGAAAATAATGAGAGTTTTTTTTTCCCCTCTCCCTCTCTCTCTCTCTCTCTGTTCTCTCTTTCTTTTCCTTTCTTTTAAATGATCATAAAATATTGCTAAATTAAAGAAAAACGAAAAAATCTTAAGATATTGTTAAATTAGATTGAAAAAAAAAAACGAAAAAAAAATTGCGAAAAAAAAATTTGCGAAAAAATTGCGAAAATAATCATTAACTGATAACAATTGATATAATGAAAGGATAGTTGAAAATTACTTCTCTAACAAACTAAGTTATAATTAAATGATAGAAGAAATTAATTTGTAAAATTTGTTTGCTTAAATTATAACCAAATTAATTATGGGCTAATGAAAAAAAAAAAAAAAAAAAAAAAGAAAGAAAAAAATGTCCTGTCTTATTAAGACTAATAATTATTATCTGAAAGAAAAGGTGCGAAGATTAAAAAATGGAAATAAAATTAATCAATCAATAATTTGTTTATTTTAATTTATTCATTTTTTTTTCCATTTAAATGCAAATGTAATATTTTATATTATGGCTTAATATTAAAAACAAATTTTTTCTGCATAATTTTTTCTTTTTTGGAATGATATTTTTGAATTTTTTTCCAAAACAAAATTAATTAATAATCGATTTAAAAAAAAAAATCATTAATAAATTCTTTGATCATGAAATGAATTCTTTTTAAAAAAATAAGAAAGAATTATTTAAAAGGTTGCAAAGAGAAATTAAATTTCAAATTGGGCTAAAATTTTTCCGCTTAATTTGCATTAATAACGACGATATTTGCAATTTTGATTACTGATAACACTGATATAAAAATCTTCTTCAACCTAAACTTATTTTGATTTTATTTCTCATAAAAAATTTTCATCAATCAATAAATCAATATATTCAACCAATGAAAATTCACTAATTAGCTTATCAATTATTAATCTGAACAAATTGATAAATTATTACAAAAAAAGGAAAAAGAAAAAAATTATTTGAATAATGATAGGAAGAAATTAAAAATGCGATTGAATCTTTAAATTAGACTAAAATTGAACGAAATAAAATTCATTTATTTAATCTAATTTTACAGTTTCAAATTAGTCTTTTTAATTAATAAAATTTAATTAAATTAATCAAATTCATTCGAATTCATTCATTCATTCATTTATTAACACTGATAAAAATGGTGAAAAGGAAGCGAAAAACTTTTATGCAAAAAAAGAAAAAATTACTGAAATAAAAAATAAAAAAATGCAAATTTCGTCAACATTTTTCATCCAATTGTAGTGAAATTTTTAAATAAAAAAAAAATTTGCATATATAACATGTAAATATTAAGTAAATTTTAAACTTTTCCCTTCCTTTTTTTTTTTCTGTCCAATTTTTCCTATCACAAAAATAAAAAGCAAATGAAAGAATAACGTTTGACAATTTTTTTCTTCTTTTCCCTCTCTCTCTCTCTCTCTCTCTCTCTCTCTCTCTATATATATATATATATATAT